GAGTTTTAAATAGCTTTAGGATCCAAAAACATTGTAAAAAAAGTTCATAATAAAAGTTTATTGGAATAGAGGAGTTGTTTTTTGATTAGTTATTTACCAACTAATTCAATCCAAATTTATAGTTCAATAACATAAACCCTCAAAAAACATAGCATACACCAAATATACTCATTGCCATCAACAAAATATTCTTCATTACACAACCAAATGAAAACACCCAAAAAGTCACACAAAACCACTTCAAACTTCCCATACAACCTCAAACACTTACAAACAAATCAAACATATGCCAAAAAAACAAACACACAAAAGAACCACTCTAAAAAAAAAAAGCTAAAACACAATCACATTACGACACATGCTGTGGGATTCTCGTCACTAAAGGCCGTCGTGTACCTAACCTCAGTCGAGCTCGCTCGAGCCAGCTGTGAAATGCGCGGGTCCTCCGCATTTCGGACATAACCAGCAGGGGCTTTTTTGTCATAAACGCCCGGCGCGTAAGGGTGGGCCACCACATCATACGGGACGTAAGGCCAAAGCTCGGCTTTTTTACCCGTTCGGTGGGCCACGCGGGCCACGACCTTCTCGGGATCCACATAACCGATCACGGTTAACTTGTTCTGCTTTGGGGTGACCTCGATCGAGGTCACACCTTTCATTCCCTCGACCGATCTTCGCACTTTCCTCTCACATCCTTCGCAATCGATCTTGATCTTAATTTCGACAGTCTAGTTGAGGGGGAAAAAAAAAACAAAAAGAGATTGTGAAAAATGTTGTTTTAGTGGTGAATTGATAGAATTTGTGTCTTAATTAAATCCAGATTTAAGTTCAAAAAGGGATCTACATGATGTTCATGAATAACGAATATTCCTCAATGGTTTCACTTAACAAAACGAATAGTTTGAACATTCATGTTTACTCAAAATACAGCATATTATTCTTTAATAACAATTTTTTCTTTTATTTTCTGTTATTCAACTGAAGAAGTGAGCAAACGATTGCACAAAAATGACATGAGCCGAGCTGATAAACGAGTTCGTGTCTTAACAAGTCGAGCTATAAAAAAAAATCACATAAAAGTCCCGGTTTTTTAACCTTAACTATTCAAGGATTTAACTAAACGAGCTTGAAACAAGCTCGAGCTAGACTAGACGAGCTCACAAGCGGCTCGTTTAATTCAACACGAACAAATAAAGCATATTATCAGTCGGTACACAACATTATTTATTCACGGTTGTGCTTAGGATTAGGAAATACCGAACGAATTAAAGAAATAATCAACCAAAAAAATATAAATTTAAGTTAATCCAAACAATTATGAGCTAAATAAACCACAAAAAAAAAAAGGTGAGTACGCCTTTTTCACCAAGAACAAAGCATGAATCTTTTATCATAATATGCCAGATCTGAACTTAGATCTTTTATTACTCCTAACATTAATTTTAAAAGAAACTGGATGCGCACAAGTAGATAAGCACAGGGTACATACAAAGCTCAAAAGGGCAGACAGTATACCTGGAGCTGCTTGCGCTTCTTGAGCTTTTTAGAATGGCCGCTCGAGCAATCAAACATGTTTGACAGATGATCTAAGGCGCCCATATTTTTGCTATTTCCACACCGATTTAAGGAATTTGAGAAAATATCACAAAACTGAACTGTGTACTGTGTACAGCTTTAATTTGGACTGTAGTTAGCCTTCAGATTTGGAGAGGGTGAGAATGGAGTATTATTATATATACAGGTAGGTGGCTAGGCCATTTTCTTTCATTTTTCACTTAATTTAAAATGCACCGTTGGATTACGAAGAGCTGGCTTGTGAGGATGAGCGACACGTGGTAGACTAGTATTGGGTGGCGGTTGGGAAGTATGGGTACCTCTCTCTGCACCGCCCCGGTTTTTTCTCTTCGGTCGGCTCCGTAAAACGATAAAACGAGTGAAGGTTCCTGCTGAGTTCTGACGGACACGGACTTCTTTATGGATTAAGTGGGACCCACTGCGTGCTTTGTGGCTAAGCTATCGGATTATTTCTAGATAGATTATTATACTTTTACAGAAGTGTTGTCGTTAGACCTTACCCAAGATAAGTGAGCCGAGCTCCAAATTAAGGCGGTCGAACTCAAGCCCTAAATGACTTGAGTTGAGCTCGATTCGTTAAATAAATGAGCTCGAACTCGACTTGTTTATCATTAATGACTGACCGAGATAGAGTATTAACAAGTCGATCTTGAGGTTTAACGATTCGAACTGTAGAAAATTATATAAAATTATCTTTTTTAGCTTTATCGACCCGAACTATTAAATAAACAAACTTTAAACGAGCTCGAGTTTGACTCATTTGTCAAATAAGTAGAGCCGAACTCGAGTCTTAACGAGTCGAGCTGAACTTGAGTGGAGTTAAGTTAGTCTCGTTTAATTTAACATCACTAGTTGTCATAAACATGCATGCGTGAACTTTTATATAGTTTAGCTAATTTCAGCTAGTTAACTAAATGAGTGGACAACAAGCTTAAATCTCGATTCATTCACTAAAATTAATAAATCGAGCTCGAGGCATAGGGAGTTGGACCGAACATAGATTTTATATTATGTTTTACGAAGTGCGTTGTCATACACGAGTTAGACTCGACCTACAGTGTTTTTTTCGAATCGAGTTGATCTCAACTCATTAAATTAATGAGCAATAAACTAGTTTAATTTCGACTCGTTTATCAATAGTAGGGAGTTGAACTCAAGTTCTAACGAGTTAAATGAGCACGATTGGTTAAATAAATAAACTTAAGCTTAACTCATTTATCAAACGAGTTGAGGTGAACCAGATCAAACTCACAAGTGACTAGTTTGGTTTATTTATCCTAACTACTGAATATCATTAAGGAATATGCACGGATACATTGGGGTAGATATGAGACCATAAGTTCCATAACGTCTCATTATGATTTATGGGCCCATGTTATTAGCCCATGTTATTTTTTTTAAAGACAACGGAGCTCTTTAATGTTTAAAGTAGCATTTTTATCTTATTTCAGAATGAGAAAGCAATAATTTATTGTGAAATTTCTTCACAAATTATAAATTTTATTATTCAAAACCTGATAATAAAAACTGAAAATAGCTGTGCCTAAATCTAAGCCCGTGGCCCAAAAGCAAATATACGCAAGACCATGACGCTGAATGAGAGTACCCAATTGTAGATTTTCTAGTAAATGAGCCGGACTTCGACCCAAATGAGGTCATTGAAGCTAAATGCACCGAGCCCACGGTAAAAGCCCATTTTGAAACATGCTGCCAGCACAGTTTTCTGGGCCTATGACTACATCTGTGGCAGCCCATTTTGTACAATAGAAGACAAGTAAATGAAATAACTCCAAGCAAGCAATGAAAATCAGAAAATGTAAGAAAACCCACAGATTATACATATACACATACCATGTTTAACCTGAACATGGACAAATAATGAAGCACAAGAATTAAGATGGTGTGATGTGCTCATAGGGCATAACTTATCGAGATCGATGCAACTTTTATCAAGTATATATTTTTGTTATTGAATTTTACATATGAAAATGTTGATTTCATTAAATTAACATATTTAAAAGTAGTCGATAGAGCTGTTAAGCAAAATGAGACGATCATGAGCTCGATTGGACTCGTTTGATAAACAATTAAATCTCGAATATATGAATTTTTATATAATCTTCAATTATTCTACTCATTAAGGCTAAAAAATGTGATGTTTATTTAATCGAGCTTGAGCTCGTTAAGACTCAAAAATATGAATTTCATGTAACGTTCTTATAATTCGACTCTTTAAGGCTCGATTATACGAATTTTTATAACTCAACTAGTTTTCTAGATATAGTTCAACTCGTTAAGGCTCGAAAATATGAATTTTGTGTAATTTCTATAACTCGCTCGTTAATATTGTTAAGCAAGTGAAATTCGAGCTCATTTATCGACTACTTTAGCTTACAAGCTCGACCGGACTCGTTTATAGACATAGTAGTTGTTAAGGTTAAGAAATTTTGAAAATTGTAAAAGATAAACAATGGAAGAAAATCAACTGTTACTTCCTGGAATCAAGGAAAAGTCAAATGTAAAAGAAACATGAAAAGCACTGTATGTAATGTGAACCTATGGATGAGTGCAAAAACAAAATAATGCGTGTGCCTGTGGGTGTGACGAAAAATGGTGTTGTACCCTGTGCATGGATCACGGCACGGACAAAAATCTAAATTCAATTGTCAAAAGATGCATGGCCTGGTGGTCCTACCCGACTCGATTCCGGATTAGTCGATTCCTCTGTGGATCTGGAAACCGGAAGGTCCTTGTACAAAAAAAAAAAAAAAATGCATGTCCTGCCACTCAAAATTATTCTTTTTTTTTTATGTTTTTTCTATCGTTCAATAAATATGAAAGAATAAAATAGTAATGGGAAATGCTATGTGGAAACTAAAGGCGGCAAAATAATAGAATAGAATCAATACTATATATGAGAAAATGCTACCGCGCTCTCGTTGTAATCATTCTGTCGGAATTTATAATCGTGAGATCATCATGTAACTGTTGTGAATATAAACTAATTAATCGATTTAGACGTCATTCATATCAAAATATTTAATAAATCAATTTACAACTCTTTCCCAAGTAGATCCAATCGGGAGAGAGAGAGGGAGTGATACATTAACAGAAGAGCTAATTTAAATATTAATTCTGATGATAGTTAGAATATTATATATCATTTAAATTAAGATTAAGAGCTTAAAATTATTCTGATGTTACAACTCTCTTACACAATCAAATTATGTCGGTTAGATAATTAATTATTTCCAATCAATCAAATTACTAAATATTACACCAAAGCATATACTTATATTAACGTATGAAGAAACCAAGAGCGCTTGGATGAGATGGTTTGGGTCTCTTCCAGCTTAACCAGTGGTCTTGAGTTCGAGCCCTGGGAATGTAGCAGTGTTAAAACTCTTGAGGGAGAGCTTTGCCGCCCTTGTAGTCTTACCCGGCTCGATTCCGGATTAGTCGGTTCCCCTGTGGATCCGGAAACCGAAGGTCCCTGTACAAAAAAAAACGTATGAAGAAAAGCAAAATTTAAAATAAATAAATAAATATTATCTGAACTTCATTTATTTATTATTTAAATATTGATTCAAAGGCATGCATGATGGAGTCTCGTACAAGAACGTGATCTGCTACAAGGAAGCATAGCATAGCAGACGCTAATACCAACAATAGATGCAATCAATACACGTTATGAAAAAAACCGAGGCACATAATTTGTCCTTACAAAACACAACCAAATTTGGCCACATTCAATCAACACCCTATAATATTGCTGTTAGATCCTCCATTTTTTTAATTTTTATTTTTTCAACTTTCCCTTCACTTGCAATAAAAATTTCACCGGGTCCATAATAGTCGGCACAATATTTACTATACATTATATATGTCCAACTTTAATTGCTTTTACAGTTTGCAATGACACCGAGGCCCAATCTGACATTTTCTACCAAGAAAAATTAATTGTAATTTGACCACCACAATAATTAATATATATTACTCCAGGAAGTAATTAGTACTCATCAGCTTAGTGAGAATTTTTTTAGTATTAACGAGTTGAGCTCGAGTAGACAGAGCCATTGGAAATTACATAAAAAAAAAAACTATTTTCGAGTAAGCTTGTTTCGTTTAACCGGTTCTGTGCTCAGTATAAGAAAATAATTCTGTTTAAAAAGTATAACGGATCAACTCGTGCAATCGTTAATTTGCCTCCACAGAATAAAATATAGTGAATATATAAATATGAATGTGGTATTTGTAGATCTAGTTGAACATTTTTCCTTTCAAATAAAAAAAAAATTGTATGACCATCACAAGATTATTTAGAATTGAGATTAATTATTTAGCACAAGGATTATTGTGGAGCTAGCTATATATAATTTGGGAGCATTGAACTTTGGACAGGGAATTACTACTTACACCAACAACTACTGCAGTAGAGAAAAACAAAATTATTGGTATTTGGTGCGGTAGATGAGGCAAAGTAGCTATTATTCCAGTGCCTGTGCCATTTTCTTTTCTTTTGCGTCCACCACAATTATGGTGCTGCTCATTCACACTGTCATCACTCTCACTTTTTCCGGGTTATTATTATTATTATTTGATGGAGACGAGCTCGCAATAACTTTCTTGGTGAAATATGATCGAATGTCGGCTCTAACTTAATTATTTACTTGCATAATTATTATTATTATCTTTCCTTAATTATTTTGTTAGGAGAATAATTATCTTTTAGAATAATGACTTATTTAGCAAGTTAGGAATTTAGTGGGATTGGGAGTCTATTTATTCTCTTGGTTGTGACTTGAACGGGCAGACTTGATGAAATAGAAAAATATCTGCTTGAGATTTTATTTCTTGTTCCTTTTGTTTATCGCTCCCTACATCATTATTATTATTATTTGCCTTTTCTTTTCTTTTCTCTCAATATTTAATTTACAACAATAATAATAATAATAATAGTAAATTTGCATTGTTAACATATATTGTCGTTGAAGAAAATGAAAATATTCTCCAACTTTGAGTAA